TAGGCAGGTGCGGATCATTAGCTCCCTCTAGTTGCCTCAGCAACCAGCACCTGAGGAGTCTTCCTGGCGCTCTCAGTAGCAGGCACCTTAATGCCCTGCTACACAGGGTAATACAGAAAATATTTGAGAGCCGTTGTTCAAAATGCTAGTAATCATCTCCTACCTCTGCTTTTCAAGGCTAGCAATTCCTTCTCGACTTTTGTCCTTGTGTGTCTGACACATAACTAACTCTTTAGCAGTTTAAAATTTGACTGAGTGAAAAAGGGCAGTTCATTGCAAAGTGTAAGTAAAGTGTGGGATTATTTTGTCAGCTTGCCCTTTTCTCACACTACCAGCACGAGAGAGATTAAATGAAACTGACATGCATTAGCAGGCCAGCCTAATTGAGCATGAAGTGCTAAGCAAAGTTAAAATAATCCAAGCCAGATATGGATTCTAAAGCACTGCCATTAAGAACAGTGATCAATACAAATGATTATGGCATTTAAAAAATAAAATAAAATTGATCGTCCTTGACTAAGGTGGGAGGGAGAACACACACATGCCACCAGAAATGACTATCCAGCTCTATATTAAACTGTGTTGGTGAAATGGTCATTTTGAGTCTTCTTTTGCAGTCTCACCTCCACAGACAAAGTCTGCCATGACTTTGATTCTGTTTGCTAGCCAGGATTTTTAATTAAATGCTCTATAATAGACTTGGAAGTATTAATGATAAGTACATTTATGAATCAAATCCTTCCCTTACTAAAGTTAATGGAGACAAGATTTCGTCGTTATATATACGTATATATGCATAATTGTTAAACGTGTATTTAACATTTTATACATTATATAATGTTTTATTTATATATATATATATATATATATATATATATATATTATTTACCAGATCAAATCACATTTCACTGTTTAGATCAGGGGTGGGCAAAATGCGGCCCAGGGGCCTGAGGCAGCCCACCAGGCCATTCTATCCAGCCCACGGGGCCCCTAAAAAAATTAGAAAATTAATATTTATCTGCCCTGGGCTGCCTGTCATGCGGCCCTTGATGGCTTGCCAAAACTCAGTAAGCAGCCCTCTGCCCAAAATAATTGCCCACCCCTGGTTTAGATACACAAAAATTCCTTTTTTCTAATCCCTGGATTTCTCAGCAGTTTGCTCACCAAAGAGATTTTCACACTAAATACTATTAAATGAGCTGACAAAATGAAAGGATTTTCTTCATGCTGAAAGCAGAAAATGAACTAAACAACTTTTTCCCAGGAGGCCTGTTTCAGAAACAGTTGTGAAAGGAAAAGTGAGGGCAGTCCATGTACCTTGTTTTATGGCCCATTCAGGTATTTCAGTAGGTGAAAATCTTCATATATAAGCAGGTTTCTAGGTGAAGGGAAATGCATCAGATGGCTAAACAAGATCTATTTCAGATATGTCTCTTGTGTCATTGGCAAAACAGCAGAAGATCTGGCTCGTTTAGAAGTAAGGGAAGGAAGTGCTGTGGTTGTTGGTGAGCACAAGAAAGACTATAGATAAGATCCAAATAAATATACAAAGGTATAGGAATCAGTTTTTAAGTAAATGAGTGAAGTTGGAAAAAAAAAACAACCTGCACCAAATTTGCCTTCTAAGTGCCAGGCAGACATCACAAATCAATCTGTAAAATAAATAAATAAATAAACAAAGGTCTTAGGTGAGATTTTTAAAGAAATGCAGGCAATTTAGACACTGAATTTCCATACATTTTAGTCACTGCTGTGAAAAAAAATCTATATCATGAGTATCTTACTACAGACAATGTTCCTTTTGTTTTAGATCTGCAGAACTTCTGGCCCCCAGACTAGTTTTTTCCCCGTCTCAGTTACCATCCAGCTTTTTCTTGAACTTTCTGATGGAATAATATTATTTGGAGTAGACTGTGGGCCTACTCAGAGGAGTAAGGCTCAGAATTCACTCTTTTGCTAAGATCTCAAAGCAGAATTTCATTTTACACACTGTGCGAGCAAATCCTGCCCTTGTCTATGTGTGCACAGCTATTGTACATTTCAGTAAGAATACTTTGTGCCTAGACAAAATTTGGTTTGCTAATGTGTGTGGCTAAAGCTCATCAGGGTAGGAAACTTGAGTTCAACATGCCTTCAACAATTTAATTTGTTATTTGAACTTTAATGTTTTGCATTTAGCTGTTGAAGTCAGCTCATGTAAGTATCCTTGACAGCATAAATATGAATTTTTAAAATAATTGTTAAAAAACATTTTAAAAAATCACTCATTCCCTGTCTCCTGGAACTAAATCCATTGGTCCACAGTACACTAAGAAATAAATCATTCCATTATTTTATTGACATCAGGGCACTTCCAGATTTTTGTCAAGAGTTTCTAAACTGTTTTTACTACTGATACACATTCCATTTAGTTGGGAATTTGTTCAGTAATAATAGTACTAAATTAGTTATCCCACTGCACAAACATCTTGGCAAGTAGAAATATTTATCAGTATGTAGCAAGCATACTACATAGTGATACAAGCCTGTTTCCTGGGCTTGGACTTAAGTTCTAGTATTTATGACTATCCAAAACCTTTTTGATATTGTACCATGTACTGTAGAATCAGTGCAGTGAATTCTACATAAAAGAGCACGTTTTTTAGGCACCTCTCATCTTAAATGACCATCCCAAAAAATACCCTAATAAACTATGGACTATTCTGTTCCACCTTTATTAAGAAAAACACTTGTGTAAAACAGCCAGGTTTTACTCATTTCCTGAGTGTCAGAGTTCCTCACTAAGATAGCTTTGCAGTCAGTTTTATCAATCAGATGTCTGACGTTGCCCCAAATCATACTTTTGTGGCTCCCCACAAAATTCTGAAAAAACTTAATTTTGCTTAAAATCATAATAATGACAAAATTGTGTAAAAACTTAATTTTGCTTAAAATCATAATAATGAAGATAATAAATTGCATCAGTTCCAAAAGCTTCCATGTCATGTTTCAAGCCAAGTGTGAATAAAAATGTGTGGGTGATCATCTTCTAGCAGAAAAGGTTTATAATGAAAACAATGGAAATGTTGACAGAATTTGAGCTCTGCTGGTGCTGCCAGGTGACGTTGTAATTACATACAGACTTTTTGCCAGACAAAGTGAACTAAACTTAGTTGACTTACAGTTGTTGGAAGTATTTTTTTTAACTCTGTTAAATGTGAATCTGTTGGCCCATATGGTGCTCCAGTGGGACCTATCAGTGGAGTTATCAGAAATCTGCTGTTTTTATTATTAGTGATGGTTTTATACCAAGACTCTGATGTTGTATTGGCTTTAATACAACTAGGGCAGATATTTGTATTGTTTGAATGTCTTGTGGAATAACTGCATTCTACATGGATTTTTAAACTAAGGTTCTTTCAAACAGTAGCTTCTCTTTGGACTTTGCTCAACAGTCAATGCTGCAATCCATGGTTTTAAAATTGTTTAAAATTTCTTATATCTTGGAAGTGAGTTTGATACACACCTTTCTGTCAAGCCCTAACCTAAATCCCACTGAAGTAAACAGAAAGATTCCTATTGACTTCACTGAACTTTTGATCCAGTTCCAAGTACAATAAAACACCAGAGCTGCTTCTAAGAAATTATACTTTTGATTATTTTGAATTTTCTAGGACAAGACAATAGAAGTAATTATTCTCAGTGTAATAAATAGGATTATACTGTAGCAGAAAACTAGCCATCAATCAGAACTTACTGGAAAATGGAACTCCCATGGTAAATCCTGATATTTTTCCCCATTCTGAATTGGAACAAAAAGCCACAATTTCTATTTTTTAAAATGGTTCTGAAACATGGGAATGTTTCATTTTCATAATGTCTCATTATTTTGTTTCCATAATATCCTAATGTTTTCCTTTGTAAGGAAGTGAGAAAGAAGAAAAGAAGCAATTAATTGAAATTAACATGTTCCCATGAAGCCTTTCAATTTAGATAGAATGGAATATCATTGTGAAAAAAAATTGGGCCAGCTGTACTGTTAAACCCTTAATATTTGTAAAAAATTTAAACGTAACTAAAAACATTGGTTTTAATCAGATTTCTGGCCACATCCCAAACTAAAGTACATTGACTTCACATAGGCAGATGTTTGCAGTCTTTGGAATATTACAGATTCCACACACCCCCTGCCCCCAACCATCCACTCCCCATTTGGAAGCAAACTATTTTATGTTCACATTCTTTCTTTGCATAAAAATAGAACAATGGTAAATGTTGCAACAAAACTCTCATAAATTAAAAGTAGTCTTTTCTTTTGTTTTATGACATGCAGACAAATTATAAAGCAGCTGTGACCCACAAGCACGTCTTGGGGAACTCACACATAGTCATTTAATCTGTAGCCACTATGTGAAGCAGATGTCAGGGAAGAAGCATGGTTTCCCTTGTAGGCAGTTGGTGGTCTATATAAGGGAACACCCCCTGTGGCACCTTGTGGTTGTGGCTGATAAGGGATGTTGTTCTCACTGTCTTGGCATGATGTACAAAGTAGAGCTCCACCAAGTATAGTCAAAGATGCAGAGACAAAGCCAAGGTAAAGCATGGGGTTGTAGAAATCTGTGACTACGTCATTGGTTGTCCAAGAAATGGGTACCAAGCATATAAGACCAGCCAGTATAAAAAAGATTCCTCCACAGACTGCAATAGAGTTTTTGACAGAGGCCTCTTTGGCACACCGAGTGCACTTCATGCCAATGACAGACACCACACATCCCAGGGTGGAAAGAACACAAGAAACCACCATCATGGCACGGGCAGCTTGGAGGTCACGAGGTAGTGCAAGCTGAGATCGGTGGACCTGGCACTGATAAATGCCAGTGCTATGCCAGACGCACTCCATCCAGAGCCCCTCCACATATGCAACCGCTGTTATAATATTGGTGCCCACATGTGCTGTTCTCCACCAGTGAGGCAATATAGTAGCAATTAATGTTCCCATTAGACCAAACAGACTGAGGAAGAAGCCAAGTAACTGAACAGCCATGCTTGCCATGTTAATGTTTGTCCTGATTATTCCCTTTTAATATTGTACCTCCGCTTGAATTCCTTCTGAAAACATAGGCTGTTCTTGAGAGATATGCAGCCGTTTTACTTTGACACCTCCTGGTCCCCTAATAAAAGGTAATTGAGGGAAAAGAAGTTAAATATTATCCAAATGCATTATTGCTGTAACCAGTAAGGTGCATTCCAAGTACCGTTAGTGTAATAATTAGCATAGTTATTGCAGTTAAGGCTATTCTGTGGAAGCAGTGGGAAAGTAAGCTTACCTCCTCACTTACATAAACAGGCTTCTCTAACCCACTGAGAAGAAAACTTAAAACAATTTATGAAATTGAAAAAGTATTTTAAATTTAAATATTCTTCTTCCCAACAGGCTCCTCAGAAAAGCATGATTTCCTTTTTAAAGTAGAAAATTAGGAAGTGTTAACACTTGGAATGAATGAGATTTATAAAGTACGCATGTGAAAGCTACTTTACATGATGAAAACATTCCCAAAAGGTCATTGCAGGACTACAAAAACAATGAGTGTATTTGCTCAAACTAGGGAACAGGGAGAGTGATTTAAAACCTGTGGAAGAGGATAACAAGTATTGGATTAAAGTTACTTTCCCGCACTTGCCAGTATTTCTTGAGGTTGTATTTTAATAAAGCAACTCAAAGGGGAATCATTTTCATTAGTCTCTGTGGAGACACAGTTTATGACTTTAGGTTGTGGGGTAGATGATAGCATGTGAAACCAGATGTGCATCCCGCAGCTTCTGAGAAGTGACACCTTCACAGTTTCAGAAGACATAAATTCTAACTTAAGAACCTATACAAGAAATAGAAGCTCTTCTTCCATGTATATTTTAGTAATGTGCACTAGAGGCTGCCTTGCAAGGTTTGCTACAGGTACCATATTATGTGTTTGGACAGAAAATATATTAATACATAAAATGACTTGCATCAAAATCCAACAAGGAAACCAGAAATAAATTTAATTTCCAATCCTGCTAAGTTTTATTCTTATGCTGAATTTGCACATGAAAGTAAGTATTTGCAGAACTGGACCTTAACAGGTAAAGCATGCATGCAGAGCAAGAATCTAGAATAAAGTGACCAACAAGAGTAGTCAATGAAAGTCTCGACCTTTGGTACAAAGAAATAACGCAGAAGGCCAAAAAGCAGTGCTGATTTACACTTGCAATCTTATTCATTAAGCAGGATTGCTTGGATTGTGAAGCAGTGCTGAATTTTCTTCTTTACACATTCCCATAATATGTGACCAGACAACAAGAACTCAAAGCAATTTACAATCTTCATTCAACATTATGCAGAAAGGAAATTTAAAAAAAGGTGGGGAATTGCTAGGATGGGTAAATAATGGTGGTTACAACAATGAAGATTGTGAAATGAACTCCTAATTACGTGCAAATTTTTTAAGTCTTAAGGTTCAGACAGAAGTGACAATTTTCACTTCATGTGGCCCCTGAAGGCATTCTACAGTCATGACCAAACACAAGTGTGCAGCTGCAGAATGGTTTAAAAGGGCCCAACCTGCAACAGTCTGAACCTTCATTACATGAGGGCTCAGATAAAGGCATTCCAAAGCAAAGCACCTTCATTAACTTCGGTCTGTGCATGCTGGGAGCAGGGCTGGTTTGACACAGCCCTGCCCTGCATCTGATGTGGTTTTTAGAATGGGGGGGGGAAGAGAGCAGGGGGAGCTCGTTCTGGGGATTGCCCAGCTGGCACTGAAAGGTGGGGCAGGTGGATTGGAGCCCCCCTGAGATGAAAGGCTCCAATCTACTCACCCCCCACCCACACTCCAGCCTGGCTAGGGAAACCCCAGAATGGACCTCCCTCCCCTGCCTTCATCCCCTCCCACCCTGAGACACAATGGGAGCTGAGAGAGGAGGGGCAGAGCTAAGGGAAGAGGCTGCAGTCTCTCTCCCTTGATCAGCTCCAAATTAGAACCCAATCCCTCACCCTCCCAACATAATAGCTAATGTCTGTTGAGTCAGAAGGATCAATCTAACTCATGGCACTTTCTATGAAGTGGGAGCTGTATTTCTGTCTGTGCTTTTAGTGTTTGTATTGATTACATCAATGGAAAGATAGCTGACTAGTTGGGCTGTGCAAAATTTCAACAAGCGTTTTGTTTTGAAGCTGTTTTGATGCATTTTGAGCTTCAAAACATCTTCAAAATGAAATGAGGGCACTCAAAACATTTCAAAACGTTTCAAGTTTCGAAGCAGCCCAGTGGTGGGAGGTGGGGGAGAGCCAGGGCTGTGCTCCGAGTGGTTCTGCCAGCCCCACGGAGCTCAGCCCGGCGGCAGGAGTTGTTGGAAGAGCCAGTGGCAGAGCTGCTCTGAGCACAGCCCTGGCCAGTTGCTCCCACCCACTCCCACCGCCAGGCTCAGCTTCATGCAGCTGTGAAGCTTCCCACTACTAAGCTGTGCTCGCTAGGGCTGCGCTCCAAGCAGCTCTGCCACTGTCTCTGTCTCTGCCTCCCACTGCCAGGCTGAGCTCCATGGGGCTGGCAGAGCTGCTTGGTGTACAGCCTGGTGGCAGGAGGTGGGGAGAGCCAGGGCTGCACTGCAAGTGGCTCTGCTAGCCCCACAGGGCTCAACCTGCCTTCCCAGCACTGCCAGACTCCTCCTGGGGGAGCAGGCCCCCAGATCTGTGCACGGGATGACAGGAGGCTGCTGCTGCTGCTGCCTGGGGCCAGTGGCAGCACCAGTCTTCCTGGCGCTGGGCGCAGGCTGTGCCCAGCGCCAGTCCCAGGTGGCAGCAGCAGCCTCCTGTCATCCTGAGCGCAAATCTGGGGGCCTGCACCTCCGGGAGGAGTCCAGCACAGCCCCACAGTCCTCGTAGGGGTGCAGGCCCCCAGATCTGCACACGGGATGACAAGAGGTTGCCACTGCTGGCAAGTGATGAGTTTTGCATTTTGCAGTTTGGGGTGCAGTTTCCCAGAAACCCCTGAACCTATCTCCTTGAAACCTGGCAGGTGTCATACCCTCTGAAGGGGCTACCATCCCTGTAAGTTTCATTTAAATCAGGCAAGAAATGAAAAAGTTATAGGCATTTTCATGATTCTCCATTATTGCCTATGGGGAAAACGTCAAAACCCGTCAAAACAGCAAAACGGTTTTCACAAAATGAAACGAAACAGAACAGTGCTTCAAAATGAAGCAAAATGACAGAATGAAACACTGTCCCTTCGAAATGGCAAAACAGAAGTCAAAATGACACAGTGCTGTTTCATACAGCCCTACTGACTAGTCTAGCCTCGGTAGTGGTGGAGTGATGTGGCAGCTATGAAGGTCCAAGAAGAATGCAAGAGGCAAAGATTTTTGTGGTTGGTATCTTTTATTAGACCAACTGTATAGTTAGGAGGGACATAGCTGAGTTTTTTAGCTACCATTCCTCAGCTGTCCTCCTTAGCAGACATCTGAAAAAGTATAGTGGTAATAATGTTGCCTTGGTAACTGAATAAATATTCAGAAACCAATAATCAGTTTTGTTTTACTTGGATTTAGGAAGAGATTTTGCTGTTTTTTACTCCTCTAATGTTTATATGACCTTCTGACTCTTCTGTGACTGTTTCTTAAATGATGGAAAGCTATCTTAGGTTGTTGCTGAGTAACCTCTGATCTACATGTAGCAATAAAAAAATTGGCATTTGCTTCTAGAAACTCCCCTCCTCATTAGTTCTCTTATCTATTGCTGTATTTTGGGGAGGACTGTACCCCAGGTTCCTTCCTTTCTGTCACCATTGCTATAACGTATTGTGATCCTAAAGGATAGAACCTAAAGCAAAGTACATCACGTAGGAAGTCTCAGGAGCAAAACAAAATGAAAATCTACAGTAACACAGAACATTACATTTGTGTTACCCCAGATTGTTCAGCTCAGAAGAACTCCCAGAACACCCTTTTAATTTGTGTATTTGATCTGGTTTGATTTTGGTTTTGTACTCTGCAATAGATGTGATGAAAATAAAAGAGTTTGCCTCATTTCATTCCAATGTGACTTTTCTCTGGTGCATAACAATATCTAAGCACTTTATATACTAAGGAATTTATCCTCACAACTACTGTTCTTGCCATTTTAGATGAGAAGCTGGGGTGCTGAGAGAGCAATTGGCTTCCCACAGTCATTCAGAAAGTCCATGGTACTGCTGAAAACAGGGCACTGCCCTCCATTTTCTTAGACTAGGGCCATCATGGCTGGCCATCTTTGCAATCTCAGTTTTATGGATGGGGAAGTCTTTATCTTGACCTATTTGGATTTTCTTAATTTTCTTACCTGTTTCTTTCCTATAGGTAGGGAAATAGAGCAACTGGTTATGATCAATCTCATCAGTCAGTCCACGCTTATATCTATGTATCACATGACATATGAAAGTCTGCTGTAAGTTACTTCTGGATGTCTGCAGAAACGCTTTCAAGGTCAGGCGTTAGGTTCTGAGGTTAATCCCAAAGAGAATGGGGTATGAAAGCTAAATGTGATTTACACCATTAGTTAAGGAAATGGACTTCCAGTTTAATGCAGGTCAAAATACTCTTCAGCTTGGCAGCAGCTATTTTTAGTTATCATTATGGTGTTATTTTTAAACTTGAGCTATTAAAGGCTTTCTAATTTAGGAAACTGGTGTTAATTAGTCCCACTCGCTCAACCTCATGTTTTCCATATTCCTTTCTTAGTTGGTGCCAGCTGCCATTGGTGCTAAGTAATGCTCCACTACTGTAAACAACCTTGCAATTGCAGCTTAATAAGGTTAAAATAACTGTAAATTAACATGGTTATCCCAAAGAACTTCAATAGCCTTGTTAAAATACCTTGACTTAGAGCTTTACTCCTGATACCTGCTCCTATGAACATGACCAACCCGGTGCAAACAGAAGGAGTGGATGAATGAATACTGCAGGAAATGGCTTGCAGCTATAGCCAGGGTAAATCTTAGAGCCCAGACAGAGCCATCTTTTCTACTCTGATCATATTTCTCA